TTGAGAATTTGGTGACATGACTTGGGAATGAGGTGACATAGTTGCAGAACTTGGGAGTAAACTTTGAGCTTGTGCATGCATTCCTTTCAAATGAGGAGACATATTCTCTGATACACTTTGATTGTGTGGAACCTGCGTTGGTGATTGGGATGGGATCCTTTGCGAAGCCTTTTGCATTCGACTGTTGACTTCTGGGCTTCTCATTCTGGGATCGTTAAGGTCAATCATTTGTGGATGTGGTTGCCTCTGAACATCAAGCATATGTGGATGTTGATATGGAGATGGTGGTGGAGTCCAAGAAGCATCAGCATGTGTACCATTGACAGAATATCCATGCATATTGTCAAAGCGTTGCTGGTGCATTCTCTGAGGAGACTGCATATGACCTGGACTAGCAGCAACTGGAGGTCGGCCCAAATGTTCAGGAGGCACAGGAGTACCTGGCATCTGATTTGGTGGCATTATTCTAGGATGTCGCATTGGACTTTGCGGATACTGTGGTGGCATTGGTATCCCAGTGTTATGTGGTGGACACTGTCCTTGTTGCATATTGTGGGGTATTGGTGGTAACTGAGAACCATGTTGGGAGCCCTGAGGTGTTTGCGGCATGCGGTGCACTTGGTGGGGGTCCATTGGACCTTGTTGCATGGGGGATGGTCCCTGTGGTTGATCAAGTGGTGGCATCTGCTGGGGACCATGCAATAACTGTTGCGGCCCAGACGGATGTCTCTGTGGCATATCTCCTGACATGCCAGGTCGTGGTACCTGTCCAGGCATCTGTCCAGGCATTGGCGGTCTTTGACCATGTACTCCAGTTGGCATTTGCTGACCATTCCTAGCATGATAATTACTCCAGTACTGCTGATGTATCTGTTCCCTTGTCATGGTTGGGTTAGGCATTCTATTCCCGTCTGGATAATACTGCTGGGATCTTGGATGTGGGGCACTACCAGGAAACCCTTGCGGAGGAGGGTATGGGTGATTTCCAGGTTGTCCTGGTCTGTACATTGGTCCACCATTAACAGGGGGACGATACCCAGGATGATTTGGCAGTGGGCCATGCATTATTGGCTGTCCGGGCAGATGTGAAGGCATTGGCTGTCCTGAATTTGGCACACGGGTTATCTGCACTTGGTCACCCATGAATGGAACAGGTGGTTGTACTCGTGCAACATTATTATTAGCCATTAGGGAATGGACTACTGCCACGACTGTTGCTATCCTGGCTACTGCTATCTCCATTCACTTGACTCATCATTCTATTGGCAGTGTTTTCAAGTTCAAGAAGTCCATGAGTTGAAAACTGCTTACGAGTTTTTCTGCTTGTAATTGGCTCAATATCTTCACCAACCTGATAGTCATCATCACTATCATTATCTTCATCTGGAAATTCTTTACCTAAACTTTTCTTAAAGCATCTCTCCAAGTTCTCAGCCATGTGTGTGTACTCACTGTCTGGACCATTGTATTCCTGGCAGTTCTCAAAAATCAACTTGAAATCAGAAATGAACTGAAATGGAAAAGTAATCACCAATTAAATTGTTAGATTCACAAAAAGTAGAAAGTAATTTGTACATGATTAACAATATGGTTATGGTATTGGATCTGAGCATGTGCAAAATTAGTGGAGGGGCTCTTTGGAATTAAACATTAACAATTATTAATAATAACAACAACAACAACAACAACAACAACAACAACGACGACGACGACAACGACGACAACGACAGACATTTCCCTTAATATACCTTTCCCTTCCATCTTTGATGATACGGATAAGGTAAAAATGAATCTAGAGTCACGTATTTGACATTGTCACTGAGTCTGAATATTAGGAAAATTGAGAGGAAGGCTTATTCATGATAGAGTAGATTGGAGGTTACATAATAAATTTGAGGAAAATATTTTGGCCACAAATAAAGTTTGTAAATAAATTAACATATCATAATTTGGGAGCAGTTAGTTCAAAACAAAAGTGAAAATATAGAAAAACTCACCTCATCCTTGGATGTGTATTTTTTGCTGTTGATCTTCTTTTCGATGGTGGATAAATCCATCGGCTGGTCAATAATATCAAAGTATCCTGGTGCATATGATTCATCAACAGGCTCCACAAATGGCCATGCATCATCATGAGCTTTGACAGGATCCAAAACTAGGATGAAAACAAAGTTACAAGGTCAGTTACAGATAGATTGACAAAAGTCACATTTGAAACACTACTACTATTACATATGTGATTCACACTTGTATCACAATTTTGTTTAAAAGAGTGTCAATAAAAAAAACTCATCTAACCAGTGGACTGAAATTTCACATAGTTTCACAATAGAACCAGACACTTTCCTTGTTGATTAGCGACATCTGCAAAAATATTTATGTAATATTTTTTTTTTTTTTTTTTTATAAATGAATTGGCACACAAGTTACATTCTGGGGTTCAGAGGGGCATACAACTTTCACCTGATATGGTTGAAATTATGTGCTTATGTGAAATTATTTGCAGATGATGTCGCTTTATTTTCTGACACTGTCATTGGCTTACAGCGACACTTAAACACATTATTGTAATAAGTGGAAAATAATTGTAAATTTATCTAAAACTAAAGTGATTGTATTTAAGGTGGGGGTAAACTTTCAAAAAATGAGAAATGGACTTACGATGGGGAACAAATCGAAGTGGTACCATATTATAAATATTTAGGTGTTATTTTTTCAAACCGACTTTCTTGGTCTGAAGCAACAAAAATATTATCACAACAGGCAAAGAAGGCATTTTTCAATATTACCAGGGTTACAAAAATTACAAGTATGCTATCCTTTGATGTATTTTTTAAAATGTTTGACACTATGGCGTTACCAATATTAACTTATGGTTCCGAGGTATGGGGCTTTGAAAATCATTTATGTTTGGAACGTGTACAATTTCTAGCCTGTCGTTATTTTTTGGGTGTCTCCTGCAATGCTCCAAATGTTGCAGTATTGGGTGAGTGTGGCAGATTTCCTATTTATTTGCATACATCATTAAAATGCATTAGGTATTGGACAAAATTATTTAAAATGCCAGAAACCCGTTACTCAAAGAAACGCTACCTTATGTTATATAATATTGAAAAATCCAATCTTAGATCCAGGTTAACCTGGGTTAGTCATGTTAAAAAAATATTATTTTTATGTAATTTAGATGATGTTTGGGAATCACAAACTGTCAATAACGTAAATGTGTTTTTGTGCATTTTTAAGAAAAAAATTAAATAAGTTCTATATACTGATTGGTTCAGCCAGGTATGTACTTTAGAGAAACTGACATTTTATAGGGAATTTAAATTTTTTTTGGAACCTGAAAAGTGCATTCTCATGTTCAAATGTTAGCTCGACTCCGCTGTTCATGCCACTATCTACGTATTGAGACAGATAGAAAAAATAATGTAGATAGGAGTGAACGCATTTGCTTGCTTTGTAACAGTAACATTATTGAAAATGAATACCATTTTTTACTTATTTGTTCCTTTTTTGTTAATTTAAGAATAAAATATGTTCCTGCTAACTTTTTTAATCCCCCAACAGTCAGTAAATATTAGAAATTAATGGGTACAAAAAATACAGATCTTCTTCAATGACTGGGAGCCTTTACTTTTCACGCAATGAAATTGCGAAAAGAGCTACAATTATTGTCAATTGTTTAAAAATTGTAATTTTATCTTCAAATATAAATAATGTATGTAAATATTATGGGCCGATGGCCTTCTATTATAAATAAAGACCATATATAAAAATATTTATTTACCATTTTTATAGGCTATCCTTTCCCCCACCACCAATCAGATATATTTTTTGAATTTATATGATGGATGGCAGTATCAAAGCATTTCAGAATTCAGACATTTTTTTAAACAAATACAAAATAATGTGCACCAATTTATGTTCAATGCATGTACCAAGTTTGAAGAAAATCTATTCATACATAACCAAGATACAGCTCTAACAGAAATGCTAAATTTTGAAGCATAAGAGGATGACTTTAATGACTAAAGGGTACCCCACTGATGGTAATAAAACCTCCGGACAGTCTGAGGGCTGAGCCAACAGAGGCACATTGCAAGGGTGGGGACATCAGCAAATATGCTCAAATTTCTAAATGACAGGTTTGAGCATTTCCTAGACAAAAACACTGAGGCCAAAAACTTACTAATTTGCACCTCAATTTCTAAGGACTTTTCAATCCGATGGTTAGATTATTTTTTTTATTAGAGACACTCTGGGAACCAAAATCCAGGATGTAAGTAACTTCAATAATAAAATTTTGCGACAATAGATGGTGAGGGATCTGCTTTTCCAAATGACGTTTTATATTTAGTGTATATATAATACTATAGTTTGATATAATAAATGTACTAAAATTATTGATGAATAACAAGGCAATTTAAATTACCTTTAAATAGTCCAATACATAGTTCATCTAACTCTGTGTAATCATCATCATCATCAATATGGCGTTTCTTTAATGGTCTGGGAGACTGAGAGTCAATGTTCATTAGATCCGGGGGTAGCTCTTTTCCTGCTGATAGCAAGGCTGCTCTTTCTTCACGCAAGCGAACACGCCGAGCCCTCTCTGCAAGCCAAAAAAGAAAAGCAAAAAAACATTGTTAGTATTATCACTAGAGATAGGAATCATCACAACATATATGACCTGGCATTTTAGGGGAACAGTTTGGCCTATCAAATCAACTATGGACTTTGTCACTGACAACTGTGAATATCCTTTCAGCACCAAAACATAACAAAGATATGTCAAAAACCAATGTTGTATTTGAGCTAAGACTAAATGCAGTCACAATCTGTGCATTGAAATGGTTCATATATATAGATTGAAAAAATTGTTGATAAAGGTATTTTCAATCGAAATCCATGTACACGTATAGAACATGCGACATTGTCGTAGCATCAATAAAATTGGCCTGTATGTGCATGAGAAGTATGAATGACCTGTATCATCCCTCTCAAGATCTCAACATCTATGGCAAATTATTACTTATCAATTGTTTTCCTAACCCCTCATAAAAATGGTCCTGCAGTGAGGCTCTTCAGAAATCAAAGAAACAAAGTCAAATGAAAGGTACACAGGTCAAAAGAAATTACCACTGTAGAGTTTCCTTTTTATTTCTTGTGTACCCGCTAAAATCATATAAAATTATGTATATACACTGTACCTTCTTTAGCAACTTCCTTTTCGACTTGCTCTGCCCTCCGAACTTCCTCTTCAATTTTCCTGAATTCTTCTACTCTATTTTCATCAGTTTCATTTTGGTTTTCCATCTCTTCAACAGCAGCTATAGCAGCAAACTTTTCCTACAAAGCAACAAAGCTCATGAAATGCATTGACGTTAGACTATTTGAGTGGTTATCCACTCACATTAATGAAATACAGTAAGTTGAAAAACACATTTTCGTGCACATTGCAATACAGCAAGCAGTATTAAAACTGTAATGTAATATTTCTTACTGTGTGTTGGTAATTCAGTGAATTGCTGTCAAAGCTCTGGTGAAGAAGAAGAAATCTTTAAATAGATATATTTGGCTGTCATTTTAATGTGTTTAACATGCAAACCAAACGCAGATTACAAATTCAGTTAAGATCTCATTTCAGTTGTGGGAAGACAAGTTAGCATATTTGAAAATAATCTCTAACACATGTTTAATTCAACTAAAGTCTAATGTTTACCTCTTCATCTTGCAACTGTCTCTTTGTTTCTAGCCTGGAAGAAATTCTTCTTGGTGCCATTTCAGACAGTCTTCTTGCCATCTCTTTTTCCTGCAAAACATCACGCAATTAACAAAACACAATGACAACACTGCACTTGCTGTATCTCAAACAGAAGCACACATATTTGAGTAGTTGTATTTATTGTATCTGAATCACTGAAATATGACTAAACATAGACACACTTGTTATTTACAGAAGCATGTATGCTAATACTGTAAAATCTGTATTAGAAACCGTGGCTTCTATTAAAATGGTACAATGCAATAGAGGGGATGAGGCTTCTATTAGAGCATCTACACATATGAGAAATGATGAATTTTTGGTTCTCAATTATTCAAAAAAAAATGGGTGCGACTTCTATTAGGGATGCGGCTTCTAATACAGATTTTACGGTAATAAAGCATATGTGTGTGTACATAAAAATCAATGCAATCAGTACAACATGATTGGTTAGTTTTAACACCAGGTGCAAGCAGTCTTGCAATGAGCTGGATAATGCCAGTACAAGTGTCCTGTAATCATGACTTTACACTGGGTAACAACATTTTATCCCTGACATCAATTTATCTACTTAGATGAAAGTAACATACCTTATTAACTATCATAGTTGCAATCTCAGGGATAAAATCTTCAGTGATTGTTTTATACAACTGCCTTTCACAGACTGTTTTACTGGACTGGAAAGTCTCAGCTAATTGTTCCCAATCTTCTGCAGTTTCACAGATCAGCTGCCATTTTGCTGGTAATCCAAGTTCCTCCTCTTCAATGCCTTCAGTTTCCCACTCGCTGTCACTCACAAGCTCCAAATCAATTTTCTTTTTACTCTTCTTCTTTAGTTTATCCTTTGTAGAAGAATCCCTTTTAGGTTTCCTGCCCCGCTTTTTTGGTGGAGAATCAGTGTCAGTTTTCTTCTTTTTGCATCGTTTACTTTTCTCTGTCGTTTTTTTGAGATTCTCCTGTTCAGGAGATGTAGCTCCATACTCTTCGTCTTCATCATCACTATCCTCAATAAACTCTTTACTTTTATATTCTTTTTTCAAAGTATCTTCTTTGCGTGGCCGGCCTCTTTTCTTTGGTTCATTTTCATAAGTCTCCAGATTTTTCCTCGGTCTACCCCTTTTCTTTTTTTCAACTTGAACACCACCTTTCTTTTGTTTCTTCCTAGCATGCTTCATTGATGCTCTACTACTCTCACAGCCAAGTGTTTCTGTTTCAATTACAAGTTTCTTAGGAAAGTCATCCATTCTATCATCCTCATCATCATCATCATCATCATCATCATCGTCATCTATCTCATTTTCATTCAAAATTCTCTCAGTTTTAATTTCCTGTTTAAAATTCTGTTCTAAGCTGTCAATTTTCTGACATTTGATTTCATCTTTTTTTTTATGTT